CCCCAAAACCCCAAAACCCCTTAAAGAAAATAATCACAGAGAATTTCAATTTCATAATAAATGGGTTATTATTAATTATTCTAATATCTAATTGATCATTAATTAAATACTCTGTTTAAGAGACTTAGAGGTCAATACTTATTATAATCAAAGATCATCCAAGTCTATCTCATTTTGATCTGTAACCTTTTAAAACGCTTAGCTGTATGATCTCTTATCAAGATTACTTTCATTTTAATCGTTTTTATTTTCTTCATCTTTATTTAAACTCTTCTAATCCTAAGTGAAATTAGAGTTTGCTGAGATCTTTAGGTAATGACTTTGATTGAAAAGTCTATCATCAAGTCCAAATTTATCAATAATAAGTTAAGTTTAGGGATGAATGTTCTTATATTCTTGATAAAGTAATTCATAACTTTAATCTATAACCAAATCTTTTTCTTTTAAGTCTTGAGTCCTTTGTTTTATTCTTTAAATTAATTCCCCATCGCTTTTATTCAATCCTCTAAAATCATGCCTATCAGCAGTAAGTGGCATCATTGATTACGTCTCTTATAAGATTGCAATCCATTCTTTATTATAGGATATGCTTATTTTATTATCAATTTAATCTGCCTATTTAGACTCTTCTTCAACTTAACTAATATTTTATGGATCTAACTGGTGCTGTTGAAATAAATCATCAAGAATGCTTTTATTTTGTTGATATCCTTTTGCATTTTAATTCTATTTAGGTTGCCATTTGTACTCTTGAGTTCTATTGTTTTGGTATTAGCCCTAGCTTTATTCTCTAAATATAGATTGTAGTCTTGAAGTGGTTTGAGAGATATTAAACAACTATATATAGTTTTTTATAATTTTAATCATACATCTAAATATTTCCTTTTAGGTAGAGGCTTATCCAAAGCTAAAAATTCTGTATGACCATCTATTACTGCTTAAAATTTCACATGAAGGTGAGCTGAAAACCAAAATTTTGGCTTAAGTTCTTAAAGTATTTCTGTAAACCCCCTTGATCCAAGTTAGCCTTATTCAATCTATTCGCAAAAGAATTAAATTACTAATATATTACATCTCTTTTAAAATGCGGTTTAAATCTCACTAGATTCTGAATTTGATCCTTTCTCGCTTTTTAGGTAATTATTGTAGGCCATTCATGACTCATGAACAAATCTACTTAGCTAGTCATCTACAAATATATTATGAGTATGAGGTCAATACTAATTTTAATTTTTAGACTTCAAAATGCCTGATGTGATACATAGTCCTAAGATAATCGTGATTATCAACATATGGATATCTTTCATGGTATCCCTTTAAATAGTCATAATGCTTTTCAATTCCACTAATGCCGCCTACTCTTAAGGTATGCTCTCCTTTTTTCACATTAATTATTCCACTAGCCCCTAGAAAATAGATATTTGGAGCAACCCATCCTCCATAATAGAGATCTCTTAGATAGTTTGATGCTTCATGATTTCCTCCTACAAATATTGTAAGTATAGGAGCTTTTAATTCCTAGTTGTAGAATTTGTGAAACTAGCCAAGCTCTTTATATTTTTCAGGACATTCAAGTGCTCTCATGTCATTTTTATCTCTCAAGCTCTATTAAATTTATAAATACTATATATATTATGGTTACCTAAAAGTCTCCACTACATAATATAAAATCAACTTTCTATTTATTCTAGTTTTCCCAGTCACTCAATTCTTGATAAAGGAATTCCAGTTTTCCATGCAAACATCCTACTACTGCGACGTTCATTTTAGTATTTTACTTAATTATTTTATAATTAACTTTTAATATTCTATTCGTTAACATAATGGAATTAAATTCAGTTGAGAAAAAAATTCAAATTGAGTAGAGTTACATAGAGCAGCGTTTACTTGTGAATTAGAACTTTAAGAAAATCAAAATCAATTAAAATGATCTTACCTAGTTTGAGGATGGGTCTGTAACTTTTAACACTGCTACTATTTATCTAGAGTATATATAATTTTTATTAAAAAATAATGTTTTAGCTACTTGGTTTGGAAAAATAAAGAAACAAAAAGTTTATTCTTACCATAAAATATTTTGAAGAAATTTATAAAAAACCCACTGAAAGCTGTTGCAAGGGTACTTCACATCATTGATAATAATTCATTGTATATAGATAAAGGAATTAGTTGGAGAAGATGATATTCTTAATTATGAAGTAATAGTTACTCTAAGTGAAGATAAATATACAAAACAAGCATATAGTCTCTTAATTGTTCAAAACATTCATATGATATTGGAATCTAATGAGCAAACTGATGTAATTATATACAAGCCTAGAGATAATTTCTCAGACAGTGAGATAGATGCAATAATAGATATGAGAAAATTGCTTACTCAACTGACAGGCATCACCATTAATAATGAGAATTTACCAAGCTGAACTTAAGTTACTCATTTCAATTCTGGAGGATTGCTTAAAGTCCCTGATGTCTTTCAAGATTAATTAAGAATTGATTCCACAGTAGGCTAGATTGAAGTTTTTTTATAATTCATCTAGCATAAAGGCACCTAAAATATCAGAGATAAGCTTTACCAGATTAATTTCAACTAGAATACTTATAACAAACTGATGGATGAAATAAGAGACTTGCTATATTTCCTATATGACTTCAAATTTTTTGAAACTTATGACATTTTGAATGAGTCAAGTGTTTTCATGAGTAAAAGACTTACTATTGCATCTAGTGTATCCTCTTCAACTGAAAGTGAATACATCTAAGATGATGATCTCAATTCTAGAGATATCTCTCCAAATGAAAGTCAAATTGAGGATATAATCAAAGATAAGATCATTTTGGAATAATAGTCTGAGTATGACAAAAGGACGAAATAAAAATGCTCTTAGTAGTATAACTAAGAAGGAAATGATCATTAAAGAAAACTTTCAATAATTGTAGAGGAAACAAATGAATCATTGGGACTCAGCTTTGATCATAGAAGTATGAATAAAAGTAACATAGTGTAAAACATAGAAGGGCGATATGATCAGAATACTACTAATTCATTCATAAATAATAGCAATATAAATGGGTCGGTTATAGTTTATCCAGATGAATAGTCTTATATAGAGGAAAAAGCTGAGGATAATTATGCGACATCTTTTGATATCATTTAACTGTAGAATTGTGAGAGAAAATAAAAATAGAAGGCCATTGAAAATTCTATAGTTAAATAATCTCCAGTTCCAATAATTCCGAATATTTCAATAAATTTTCCAATTAAAAGTCGCTAACTTAGTAACTAACCCAAATCTCAAACTTAAATCAGCTAAGTGTGCCAAGAAATATAGAGTGAACCAATTGTATAGAGATATTCAGATTTTATTTAATGCAATCTTTGGCCTAATCCATCATTATCATAGACATTCCAGTTCATAATTGATGCGAAACCTGTAATATTCTAAGAAGGCATTTAAAACTAGATAAAATTGCTGAAGAACAGAAGTCTATCAAAGAAATATCTCCTTGGATCGTTGTTTCAAAGTAAAAATCATAGAAACAGAAAGACAGTATTAGGGCTTTAAACGACTCATTCAGCACCAAAATTAAGAGAGTTGGAAAAATCATTGTTCAATATGCCTAGACAACTAAAACCGGATGTCAAATAGAAGATTGAGGAATTGATGATTAGCATTTTAAATTAGGATAATTCTTGTGATTAAATAGTCGAGCCAAATTCGCATTGAATTTTCATTAAGCAGGAAGAGTATAAAATTGTGATTGAGCAAACAGATCAGTCAGTCAAGAATGGATCAGAGTAATCCTTTATGGAAATACCAGAAATTTCAGTTACACAGTCATAGCATTAACTGACTTAGTTCCATAGGAGATCAGTCTCAAGAAAAACTGAGGAAGGAAAGCTTTCTATAATATCTTAGAATTAATCGAAATTCTCTAGTCAATGTGAGTAATTTCTGATGATGAGTCCTCAGGAGTCAAGAATAAAAACAGAAAGAAATACATACACTTAAAAGCATACAACCCCACCATCTGGAGAGTTCAAGAATTATTTAGATACTGAAATGGATTTGATTAGTGAATAAAAGGTAGAAGAGGAGAAAGTAAATCACCAGAAAAATTTAAATCCCAATCAGCAGGATGACTCTGAGGCATAATCACTTATAATGATTCTGAGTCCATCTGATGCATAATATCCTCCAAATGAAAGTAATCCGATCAGTGCTTTTGACTGTAAAGAGCCTCTCAATGAAATAAACTTAAATAATAAAACTAATGTCTATGAGATGGTAGTTGATCCAAGCGTTAAATTTAAAAGTATCTAAAATTCTGGGGCAAAACAATCGGTTATTCATCATAAAAGGAATTTTAACTCAGTAAACTATGAAGAGGTTAGAACTAATTCAAGGCTGAGAGAGGAGCAAGAAGCTATCAAATAAAAGCAGCAAATAGACTAAGATCGAAAGGAAAAGATTTTATAGTCAGTTAAGAGTGGTAAATTCGTGATTAAAAGTAAAAAGTCTACTTAGAGTGGGAGGATGAAATATAAATAAGTTAACTCAACTATATCAGATACCAATGTCTCTGAGTACAAATCATCAATGATTAACTAGTCTATCAAAGACAATATAACCATCATAAGTAGCATAAACAATGACTAAATCAACCACAACTCACAGAATAACAAATAGTCTAGAGACAATTCGATGAATGAATCAAATGTGATGTGTAAACATTGCAAAGGCACCAACTGGAATCAGAAGTACAATATGCCTTGCAGTAACTGTGTTGATACACCTCTGCTTTCTGCAAGAAAAGTAGAAAAAAGCTTCAAACGAAAGAAAAATATGGATTATCCGAGATAAATGTCTCATCCCTAATCAAATTAGAATAATGAGTGAATTTAAATGTAGACAAATATGAGGAATGCTATTAAATTTTCAAGCAATACCTCAATACCTTAAAATATAACTTAGATCTTTTAAACTATTTTAAATTCTCAATGCTACTCCTCGGGGTTTTGGGGTTTTGGGGTTTTGGGG